TATCGGTATGTACGGGTACTTCCTGGGGATCGGCCGGTACTGTCGGCGTGGCTCTTATGGGCGTGGCAGCCGGTCTGGACATTTCTCCAGCGGCAGCCGCAGGTGCGGTCGTCTCTGGCGCTTACTTCGGGGACAAGATCTCGCCGCTTTCTGACTCGACGAACTTTGCTCCAGTGGTCTCAGGTACCACATTGTACGAACATATCCAGCATATGCTCTACACGACCTTGCCGGGTTTCGTCATCGCTGCGGCGGTCTTTTTCTTTGCTGGTCAAAGTGCCGGTGCAGCAGGCATCAGCGAACCGGAAAAAGTGGCTGAAATCCTGGCGGGCCTTGAGAGTCTGTATAACCTGAACATCGTTCTTGTGATCCCGCCGGTCATGATTCTCTGGGGGGCACTGACGAAAAAACCTGTCCTGCCTTTGATGCTGGCCGCTTCGGCTATTGCTGCTGCAATCGGCATCTTGCTGCAGGGGTTCTCGCTAAAACAAAGCTTCCAGGCTTATGTAGACGGCTTTCACCTGGAGATGTTTGAAGCGAACGGCCGTGAAGTATCGGGCATCGTTCCTGATGTAGCGAAACTGCTGAACCGCGGCGGTTTGTTCTCAATGATGAGCACCGTTCTGCTGGTATTCTGCGCATTCTCTTCTGCCGGCATCTTAAGCCTGACCGGTGCCCTGAATGTCGTACCTGGCCGCTTCCTGCACCTGATTCATTCAACGGGTCAACTGATTGCCTCAACCGTAATCGCGACTGTCATCGTTGTGTGTACGACCTTAGACGGCAAACTTGCTCTATTGATTCCCGGGGAACTATTCCAGAACGCCTACAGAAAAATGGGGCTGGATACGAAGAACTTGTCCCGTACGATCGAAGATGCGGGCACGGTCATCGAACCTCTTGTTCCGTGGACTGCGGCGGGGCTCTACATGGCCGGTACGTTGGGCGTTGCGACTCTTGATTATCTACCGTGGGCGATCCAGTGCTATACCGGCGTTATCTTCGCCCTGATTTACGGATTTACCGGTTTTGGCATCGCGAAAGCAAAGCCGGAACAAAATAAGGAGTAGAATATGACTTTTGAAGAATTTCTGGATTTTCAACAGAGTCTGTCCTACCAGAGAAGCAGCAGGCTGGATCGGGTCCATATCGGTCTGGTCCAGCTGAGCACCGACTGCAGTCTGGAAATGGATTGGGCTAAGCTGTCCGGGACGCAGGCTGCGGTTTTCAGTTCCCGGGTGTATTATTCGAGCTACCTGACACCGGAGGAGCTCCGGCAGATCGCAGCCGGCATTCCGGCCTCGGCAAAGCTGATCGCCCAGGACCTGCCGATGGATGTGATGGTTTTCGGCTGTACTTCCGCTTCAATTGTAATCGGAGAAGAGGAGGTCGCCAGACTGTTGACAGAAGATCATCCGGGTATTCCGGCGACGAATCCCTGGTCGGCTGCGAAAGCTTCTTTTTCGCATTTCAATGCGAAGAAAATCGCCGTCTTCAGCCCCTACACACCAGAGGTCAATTACGCGCTGCATCAGCAGCTGAGCGCCTCGGGCTTTGATGTCGTGCGGCTGGGCAGTCTGGGGATTGAGCGGGATACCGAGATTACGTTTGTATCGTACGATTCGGTCCGGACCGGATTGGAAACGCTCCTGAAGGGGTCCGATGCCGAGCTGGTCTTCCTGTCCTGTACGAATTTACGGGTTCTCGATCATCTTGCAGATATTGAAGAGGAATTTGGTATTCCGGCGGTCTGCAGCAATGCCGCGATGTTCTGGCATGCGATGGAACTGGCCGGCAGACCTGCCTCCTGTCCCGGCTATGGACGCTTGCTCAGTCAGGGATAATGGCACAGGAGAGAAGATCATGACTTTACTTGAAGAGATGACGGGATGGCGGCAGCAGATCCACCGGCAGCCCGAGTTCGGTTTTGAAGAAAAAGAAACTTCGGCTTTTGTCGCGTCGAAACTGGCCGGGTACGGGCTGGAAGTCCACACCGGCATCGGCAGAACCGGAGTGCTCGGCATCCTGAAAAAGGGAAGCGGGAGCGCTTCGATCGGCCTGAGAGCGGATATGGATGCGCTGAAAATCAAGGAGCAGAACCGTTTTGCCCATGTTTCCCAGCGGGACGGACTGATGCATGCCTGCGGGCACGACGGACACACGACGATGCTGCTGGGGGCGGCCTCTGAACTGGCGCGAGAGGGAAATTTTAACGGGACGGTCTATTTCATTTTCCAGCCGGCCGAGGAGCATGGACTGGGAGCAAAAGCGATGATTGCCGACGGTCTGTTTGAGCGCTGGCAGATGGATGAGATCTATGCGATGCACAACTTACCGGGCCTGCCGGCAGGAAGCTTTTGCGACGAGATCCGGCTCGATCATGGCCAGTGAGAGCAGTTTTTCGATTGAGATTCTGGCTTCGGGAGGGCATGCGGCTCTGCCCCATATGGGAACGGATCCGATTGTCGTCGGTGCCCAGGTGATTCTGGCACTGCAACAGATTGTCTCCCGGAACCTGAGTGCGATCGATGAGCCGGCCGTCGTCTCTGTTACCGAAGTTACAACGAATGGAACGGTCAATGTGATTCCCTCCAGCATGAAAATCAAAGGGGATACCCGCAGCTTCACCGATGCCGCACTGCAGAAGATCGAAAAGGCGATGGAGCGGATTGTTGCCGGGCAGTGTGCGGCAGCCGGGGTCAAGTACCAGTATGAATTCCGGAACACGTTTATCTCAACGATCAACGCCGAGGGTCCTGCGCAAAATGCGGTCCGGGCGGCGGCTGCGGTGGCGGGGGCAGAGAACGTCAACGGCAACTGCCAGCCTTTTACCATCAGTGAAGATTTCGCATTTCTGTTACGCGAAAAACCCGGATGTTATATCCTGATCGGCAATGGAGAGGGGCGGCCGGCTCTGCATAATCCGCATTACGATTTTAATGATGCTATCCTGGAACAGGGCATCCGGTACTGGAAAACACTGGTAGAACAACAGTTATCTGTATAAAAGGAAAGAGGAGTATGCAAATTATCACAGGGCAACTGACTCATTTTGTCAATCCTTTGGCCCGGCGGGACAACGTTTATTCGGAGCAGCAGAGAAAGATTCTGGATATTGACAAGTCTCACGAGGCGATAGAGACGATCCGTTTATGGCCGGGTTACAGCGTGACACCGCTCTACAGTCTCAACTCAATGGCACGGGATGCGGATATCGGGAAGCTCTGGTACAAAGATGAGTCCAGACGCTTTGACCTGAAAAGCTTTAAAGCCCTGGGCGGAGCGTATGCCGTGATCAGACAGCTGCAGAAGGCATTGGAGCAAAAGCTCGGCAAAACTCCCGATACCAGGGAGATCCTGGCTGGGAAATGGAGAAAAGAAATCCAGGAAATTACGGTGAGCTGCGCTACAGACGGCAATCACGGCCGTTCTGTAGCCTGGGGGGCCCGCTTATTCGGCTGCTCTGCTGTGATCTATATTCACAGGGATGTCTCCGAGGGACGCAAAGAATGTATGGAATCCTTCGGGGCCAGGGTCATCAGAATTGAAGGGAATTATGATGATTCGGTAAAAATGGCCGATGCCGAAGCAAAAGCGAACGGCTATATTATTGTTTCTGACACGTCTTATCCCGGGTATACCGAGATCCCGAAAGATGTAGCTTTGGGCTATACAGCAATGCTCTCAGAGCTGGTGGACCAGCTGGGAGGAGAGATTCCAACCCATGTTTTTGTGCAGGGCGGAGTAGGGGGCCTGGCTTCAACAGTCTGTGGCTATTTCTGGCAGCTCTGGGGAAACGAACGGCCCCGTTTCTCGGTCGTCGAACCGGAGCAGGCCAATTGTCTCCAGCAGAGTGCAAGAGCAGGGGAGCCAGTCCGTGTTGAAGGTTCCCTGACGACATTGATGGCGGGCCTGGCCTGCGGGGAAGTTTCCATCCTCGCCTGGGAAATCCTCAAAAACGGCAGCGATGATTTTATGACGGTCAGCGAAGATACCGTTCCGGCGACGATGAGGCTGTTAGCGCAGGGATACAGAAATGATCCGGCAATAGAAGCGGGAGAGTCGGCAGTGCCGGGCCTTGCCGCAGCCCTGTTGGCCCGGGCTGATCAGGAAATCGCCCGAAAAATGCAGCTGGATTCTTCCAGTAAGATTCTGCTCATCGGCACAGAGGGCGCGACCGATCCGGAGCTCTACCAGAAGCTGGTCGATATTGACAGCGAAATATAGAGATTCTTATTACTGCGGAATTTCAGCTCTTTCCTGGCCCCCCACCCTGCCAGTGAAAACCAGTGCCCGGGCTGTGTGCCGCAGCACACAGCCCGGGCACTGGCTATCGCCAGACCATTACCAGCGGAACTCTGACACAATCAACCGCAAAGCCGGTGATTTTTCACGGTTGTCTGAGAGTGGATTTCTGGCCAGAAACTTTACGGCGGGCCGACCCGCTCAGGTGGTCACAATATTCACCAGCCGCCCCGGCACCACGATCTCCTTGCGCAGCGTTCTGCCGTTAAGCTGCTCCTGGACTTTCGGGTCGGAGCGGGCGGCAGCCAGCAACTCTTCCCTGCTGGCTGTCGCAGCCAGCAGGGCCCTGGAACGCAGCTTGCCGTTGACCTGAAACACAATCTCCCTCTTGTCTTCCCGACACAGAGCCTCATCCCAGTCAGGCCAGGTTTCAAAAGCCAGGGAGCCCAGGATTCCGGAAGTGTCCGGCTGCTCCCGTCGCTCCCGTCGCTCAAAATGCAGCACTCCCTGCCACAGTTCCTCACCCAGGTGCGGTGCATAGGGACTGAGCAGCAGGACAAAGGGCCGCCAGATTTCCAGCAGGCAGAATTCCAGTGCCAGCAGGCGATTGCTCAAAATCATCAGCTGGGAAATTGCCGTATTGAATTCCAGGTTTGCGGTGTCCTGGCTGACCTTTCTGATGGTCTGGTGCAGCAGGCGGCGCAGTTCTCCGGCCTGTGCTGCGTCCAGCAGGCTGGCCAGGGCTCCTCCGCGCAGCGGCTTCTGAGAGATGGCCCACACGCGGTTCAAAAATCGGTGGATGCCCGCCAGACCACCGGTATTCCAGGGTTTGACCATCTGCAATGGCCCATAAACATTTCATAGAGGCGCAGAGTATCCGTGCCGTACTCGGCAATCACATCGTCCGGATTGATAATATTGCCCCGGCTTTTGGACATCTTCTCGGCCTGGGAACGCACTCTGATTTCGGGCTGCTCTTTCAGTACAAAGTCACTGCCCTTTCTGGTGACCTGCTCTTCACTGAGCCTGACGGCCTGCACCGGTCGGCCCTCCCTGTCCTGTAACCGGCTCTCGTGGGCCGCAGGGTCTGCCAGCTCCCCGGGGCTCAGCCACTGCCCATCTTCCTGACGGTAGCCGGTGTACTCCAGTTCGCCCAGGATTCATGCCCTGGTTGACCAGGCGCTGGAACGGTTCTTTGTGCCGCACCAGGCCCAGGTCGTAGAGCACCTTGTGCCAGAAGCGGGCGTAGAGCAGGTGCAGCACCGCATGCTCGGCCCCGCCGACATACAGGTCCACCGGCATCCAGTACTGCTCTGCGGCGGGGTTGACAAAATGCTGCGCATCGTGCGGGCTCAGATAGCGCAGATAGTACCAGCAGGAACCGGCCCACTGCGGCATGGTGTTAGTCTCACGGCGGGCCGGGCTGCCACAGCGGGGACAGGCACAGCGCACCCAGTCTTCGATGGCAGCCAGCGGCGATTCACCGCTGGCTGTGGGCTGATAGCTGGCCACAGCGGGCAGGAGCAGGGGCAGCTGCTCTTCGGGCAGGGGCACAACGCCACAGTCCGGGCAATGTACGATCGGAATCGGCTCGCCCCAGTAGCGCTGGCGGCTGAATAACCAGTCGCGTAGTCTGTACTGCACTGTCTTCTTTCCCAGACCGCGCTGTTCCAGAATTTCAAGCGCCCTGGCGATGGCCTCCCGTTTACCCAGAGCATTCAGCTCACCGGAATTGATGTGTGGGCCATCTCCGGTAAAGGCCTGCTGCTCAATATCACCACCCTCCAGCACGGGAACGATGGGCAGTGCAAACTTGCGGGCAAAGTCCCAGTCGCGCTGATCGTGGGCGGGAACGGCCATAATCGCCCCGGTGCCGTAAGAAATCAGAATATAATCGGCAATCCAGATCGGAATCGGTTCTCCTGTCAGTGGATTGAGCGCAAAAGAGCCGCTGAACACACCACTTTTATCCCTGGCCAGATCGGTGCGTTCCAGGTCAGACTTGTGGGCCACCGCCGCGAGGTACTGCTCGACCGCTGCTTTCTGAGCGGCCGTGGTCAGCCCGGCCAGCCAGGGGTGTTCGGGCGCAATTACCATATAAGTGGCACCGTAGAGTGTGTCGGGACGGGTAGTAAAGACCTTCAGTTTTTTACTGCTGTCTGCGGCCAGCGGAAAATCGACCTCCGCGCCTTCGCTGCGGCCAATCCAGTTCTCCTGCATGGCTTTGATGGAATGGGGCCAGTCCAGCAGTTCCAGATCCTGAAGCAGGCGCTCGGCATACCCGGTGATCCTCAGCAGCCACTGACGCAGCCTGCGCCGCTCAACCGGACTGCCGCAACGCTCGCAGCACCCGGCCCCCACTTCCTCGTTTGCCAGCCCGGTTTTGCAGGAGGGACACCAGTTAATCGGCGCTTCACTCTCGTAAGCCAGGCCTTTGTGGAACAGCTGAAGAAAAATCCACTGCGTCCACCGGTAATAATCCGGATCGCTGGTGCTGAGCTCCCGGCTCCAGTCATAGCTCAGGCCCAGCGAGCGGATCTGGCTGCGGAAGCGGTCAATATTCTGCCTGGTGGTAAGCTGCGGATGCGTCCCGGTCTGGATGGCATAGTTCTCGGCTGGTAGACCAAATGAATCAAAGCCCATTGGATGCAGCACGTTATAGCCATTCATCCGCAGGTACCGGGAATAAATATCGGTAGCAGTGTATCCTTCAGGGTGCCCTACGTGCAGGCCGCTGCCCGAAGGATACGGGAACATATCCAGCACATAACGGCGCTTTTCGACCGGGAAATCCGGATCTTCGCGCACTTCAAAGGTCCGGTTTTCCTGCCAGTACTGCTGCCAGCGGGGTTCAATTTCATGAAAAGGGTAACGTGCCATGGTAGGAATCCTTCGTAGCTGCCTGTTGCATGCATATACAGGAGCGCCTAATATAGTAGTCATGGTATAAAATGCCAACACCGGAGCAGCTGCCGAAGGCTAAGAACTGCTGACGATGCGGCTGAGCAGGTTTGCGCAGGTCTCTTGCGCCTGTTGTTTCAGTTCGCATTCCCATACGGTAATGACATTCCAGCCCAGTTCCCTCAGCTGCTTTTCCTTTGCTGTATCACGAGCCACGGTATCTGAAAATTTCTGCTGCCAGAATTCTATTCTGGATTTCGGGGTATAAGCAAATTTACAATTCCTGTGACGATGCCAGAAGCAGCCGTTAACGAAAATCACGGTCTGGTAACGCGGCAGGACAATATCCGGGCGACCCGGCAGCCCGGGTACATGCAACCGGAAGCGAAAGCCTGCTCTATGGAGCATGGATCGCAGCAGGAGCTCCGGTTTCGTATCCTTTCCTTTGATCCGGGACATATTCCAGCTTCTGTGTCCCTTATTGATTCTGTCCGCCACTGGTCACAAATTTCCGTATCACCGGCAACCTTCCGCTATCCGGCCGCTCTTTTCCTCTTGCTTATTTTGCCGGAAAAACCTTGAAAGCAGTTGAGAGAGAGCTCTGCACGGGCCAGTATATCCGTCCTGTTCCATATCGAAAATACATCCTGCACAATCCTTCCCCTGTTCTGCACGCGGCAGATACCCTGCGCACACAGAGCACCGGTGGCAGGCTCAACAGGCTCTGAACCTGAGTAATTCTGCTTGACAGGCAGCTGGAAGCAGACCACAATAACTCTCATAACCTGGCCCGTTGAAGGGCGCAGAGCATAACCGGGCAGCTGCTGTCTGGTGTGAGGAGACTTCTTATGGCAGAAGTGATTTTAAAGGATATCACCAAGGTCTACGATGGGAATGTGACTGCGGTCGAGAAAATCAAATATCCAGATTAATGACAAGGAATTTGTCGTTCTGGTAGGCCCTTCGGGTTGTGGTAAAACTACCACTCTGCGCATGATCGCCGGGCTGGAAGAAATTACCGGTGGCGATTTACTGATCGATGGCAAGCGGGTCAACGATGTACAGCCCAAAGATCGCGATATCGCGATGGTCTTCCAGAATTACGCGCTCTACCCGCACATGTCCGTCTACGACAACATGGCTTTCGGCCTGAAAATCCGCAAATTCGCCAGGGACGAAATTGAACGGCGTGTACAGGAAGCCGCCGGGATTCTGCACCTCCAAGAGTTGCTGGGCCGCAAACCCAAAGCCCTTTCCGGCGGCCAGCGCCAGCGCGTGGCCCTGGGCCGCGCGATTGTGCGCCATCCCAAAGTGTTCCTGTTTGATGAACCTTTATCCAACCTGGATGCCAAACTGCGCGTGCAGATGCGTACGGAAATCTCGGCTCTGCACAACCGCCTGCAGGCAACCATGATTTACGTGACCCATGACCAGATCGAAGCCATGACCATGGGGGACAAAATCGTGATCCTGAAGGATGGTCGCATCCAGCAGATCGGGAGCCCGATGGAACTGTACAACATGCCATGCAACCGCTTTGTGGCTGCTTTTATCGGCTCGCCGCCGATGAACATTGTGTCGGCCAGGGTACTGGAAGAAGATGGCAGACTGATCGTTGATGAAGGCGGTCTGCGCTCCGAGGTACCAGCAGCCGCCCTCGAAAAACTGCGCGCTTACAAAGGAAAAGAAGTGCTGGTCGGCCTGAGGCCCGAAGATGTCAAACACGGTGGAGCTGCCGATCACGGCAGTATCCGTGCCAGGGCTGAGGTGATTGAACCACTGGGTGCCGAAACCCATGTCTACCTGAGCACCGCCGGGAATCATCAGTTTATCGTCCGTCTGGAGCCATCAGCTCAGCTTGCGGTTGGTGACGAAATCGTCTGCACGCCGGTACAGGATAAACTGCACTTTTTTGACATGGAGACGGAATTGTCTCTGCTCAATGGTGATAAGGCTCCACAGCAGGACTGAAAATTGCAGCACTGCCGGCCAGTACAGGGAAACAGCAGTGGTACTGCTGTTTCCCTGTACTGGCCGGCAGTGCTGTCGAACCAGAGCTGCCGGGACAAAAATCCCGGTTACTCCTCCAGCGTGGTCAAAGCAGTTCTGTCACAATAATCAGATGTTTTTAAATAATATTCCAGCAACAGGATATGAATTACGGGAAAATCTGTATGTAAGTATTCTTTCATCCTGTATATGAATCCAATCTGCAAAGAAGAAAATCAGCTGCATCAGATCGGCTCTATGCAGTACAACTGGTCAGTACGGAAATATTTCCATACTATCTGCTTCTATGTTCCTGTAAACTGAAGAGTGAAATTTTCTTTACAGAATGGTCTGCAGCTGTCCTCGTAGAGAGCAGGTCTTTCCACAGCAGCAGATATCTGTGAGCCGCCATCACGATCAATAATGCGGATTGCAGAATTACTCAGCATCCTGTTCTCCATGTTGATTCAGCTGGAGTTCTTCCCCGCTGAGGAAATCCTGGAATATAATCCGGCCATCCGTTGTTTTACGTATCGCGATTGAGAAACAACGGACCAGATAATCAGTACAACCAACAATACAGAGATGGGCCTTGTAATAAATACAAAGAGATCACCACCTGATGCCAGCAGAGAACGCCGCAGATTGGTATCGACCAGAGGCCCGAGTATGATCCCTAAAATCAGTGGAGCAGCGGGAATATCTAATTGATAAAAAACAATACCCAGCAGGCCGAAGGCCATCATGATATACACATCAAAGATATTCAGACCGATCGCATACGCTCCCATGACAGATAAGGCGGCCACCACCGGCATCAGAAAAATGGCCGGGACTCTGAGTATTCTGACCATTAATGAAGAGAGTAAGGTACCAGAAACAAACAGCCCAATAGTGGCCCAGAACAGCATAGCCGTAATTTCATAAATAAAACCCGGGAACTCAAAATTCAGCACAGGCCCCGGCCGGATACCATGCAGATACATGGCCCCCAGCAGCACGGCAGCAGGAGGGCTGCCAGGTACTGCCAGTGTCAGCAGAGGAATAATAGAACCGCCAATACAGGCATTATTGGCTGTTTCAGAGGCAATAATGCCTTCATATGAGCCATGACCAAATTTCTCCTGTTCTTTACTGGCCCGTTTGGCCCGATCATAAGAAATCCAGGAAGCAATATCCTCTCCTACTCCGGGAATAGAGCCGACTCCCACACCCAGAAGGCCGGAACGGATAATATTCTGTTTATTTCTGCCAATAATTCTGAATACCTCAGCCATACCCGTATGTTTGCGCTCTACACCCGTAATCTGAGCTTTCCCACTGCTACTCAGCATAAAACCACTTGCGGAATACTGAAGATTCCAATCATTGCGGGTATAAATGGAATTCCACCCAGCAGCTCCGGCAGATACACAAAACGCTGGTAGCCATAGATTTCTTCAATTCCCACAGTAGAAATCAACAGACCCAGCAAGCCGGAAATCCAACCCTTAAGCGGGTCACTGCCCGAAGTTAAAGAACCACAAAGCACAATACCTGACACACCCAGCAGAAAAAACTCGGGAGAAGCAAACATCGTTTCTGCAATATGACTGAGCAGAGGAGCAAAACTGATCAAAGAGATAATCCCGATTAAAGTACCCAGCATGGACGCAATACGGGTAGTAATCAGAGCCGTTTTCGCCTCCCCCCGCACAGCCAGAGGAAACCCGTCCAGAGCTGTAGCAGCCGAAGCTCCTGTACCAGGTATATTGAGCAGAATCGCACTGACAGAGCCACCAGAAACAGCCCCCACATAAATCCCGATTAATACCGGTATCGCAAGAGAGCGATCCATGTCAAAGGTCAGGCTTGAGAGCAGCGCAATCCCCATAGTGGCAGTGAGGCCGGGCAATGCGCCGATAATAATACCTCCGCTCACACTGGCCGCAATCAGAAGCATCACATCGTAACGAAGCATTGCAGAAATTTCTGTGAAAAGATGAATGATAATCATAAGAAACCTGAACTATGGCAGTATGACTGACATAACTTTACTGAAGAATATTCCGATAACCAGTGACACGAGAATCGCAGTAAGAAGATAATACAGATACGATTTCACATGAATTCTCTGCTGATTTTTCGATAAATATCCGGCACTGAACATCGTGATAAATATAAACAGAGATGTCGCTATATAATAGGAAATCCGACCCAGCAGGATGATATATAATACGATAACAGATATTAATATCATTATTTTCCCTGATGGATAAAAAAATCCTGTATATGAATCCTGTTTACTTAATATACGAAATAAATGCACAGTATTTTTTTTAAAAAGGTATGGAAAAATCAGCAGAAATAAAAGTACAGAAACAGATAAAGGAAATAATCCCGGGTTCATATACCATTCGACCACAGGATTATCCATTGATTCCAGAAATACCAGAACAGACTGTTCTATAAAGAATACAGATAAAAATATCAGTAAAATATTCCAAAGGTATTCCAGGATATTTTTATGCATATCTTCTCCTGACAGCTTTACATTAATTACTAAGAAAACTCGAATCTTCAGGACGAAGAATACCAAAACTTTCAGGATTATGAGGAGCCACACCTTTATCGTAGAGAATCCATGAAAACAGCCTGACCATTGCCCGATTATAATTCTCTGCCTCCATACCTGTTTTGCCAATCAGGCCAAAATCGCGCTCCCGGGAAAACTCCTGCATGGATGCGGAAGCTATCGCGTTCTCAAATGCAGTCCGGAACACGGCCTGCACTTCCGGTGGCGTATCTTTTCTCATGGCCAGGATAATGGCCTGGCTGGCCTCCGGCATATCAGCCAGCTCCGGGACAAACCTGGTAGCAGAAGGAACCCCGGGATAGCCGGGAACGTCTAAATCATCGGGCTCAATAACAGCAAGCGGTCTCAGTTTTTTTGCCGCCAAGTACCCGGACTGCTCTCCAACACCGGTGAGGACTACATCCACTTCTCCGTTCAATGCCGCCAGAATGGATGGATTAGAACTATTATAAGGTATAAATCTATACGAAAAACCAGCATACCGACTGAATAAAGTCATTTTGATATCCCAGATCGTCCCCGGACTGGAATTGGCAACCGCAATTTCCCCCGGATTTTCTCTGCCTGCGTCAATCAGATCCTGAAGATTTCTGTACGGCGAATCGGCCGGCACAGAGATTACACTGGGGTAGAGCCGACTATACATGTACTCCACGCTTCTATTGGCTGGTCAAAAACACCCATTACATTAAAAGGATACATCCCCTCCGAAAAAACAAGCACATGATACCCATCAGCGGGAGAGCGAAATACCCGCGACGCAGCTGCACCACCTGCTGCACCGGGAACGTTTGACACAATAATTTTTGTTCCCAGTTCTGTTTCCATCGCCGCAGCCATCGCCCGGGCTGTCAGATCGGAGAGCCCACCGGCAGAGCTTCCCACAATAAAATTAATATTTTGCCGGGGATACTGCTCACTGCTGCCGGATTCACCCATTGCCGCCAGTACAAAGTAGCTCCCGCCGCCCCGCAAGCCTCCCGGGACGATCGAAAACAAAAACATCAGAAGCAGAATCCTTCTGAACAGAATCTTCCTGATTTCAGCCGTATTCATGATACATGACCTCCATTATGTAACATACTGATTATCCAACCGCATACATTCACTGCAATTCTGTTATCAGAAAACAACCGGATCGCAGTACCTGAAAAATGAATCATATCCTCACTGAAAACACCGCATTATTTCCGGTATTTTTCCATTTTCTGCCTGTCTGTCTTCTGCCCACCAGCCTCCCGGCCTCCTTTAAACGTACATGGAACTTATTATGAAAATGCGGAACAGCAATCCCTCCGGAGCCATCATGTCCTGCTGCGCCATGTCGGGTATCTCCGCTGCCACAGGGCACCTGTCACCAGCAGCAGGGAGCTGCTCTGAGCACCGCCAGGCAGCTATGCTAAACCAAAAACCTCCTTTGCAAGCAGACGACGGTTTTCCAGAAATTTTTCCGGTACCAGATCCAGCTGCTGAACTTCATTTAACGCGTGAAGCTTCTGGACAATCGCATCCGTAACGGCACAGTTATCAGCAAAGAATTCCCGCATATCCCAGCGTGTCGGTTGCGCATCGGTAGTCAGAAAATCACGATAGCCCGTTTCCATCAGGTGATATAAAAACTCCGTATACTCCCAGACATGTCTGGTGGCCGAGATATAATCCCAGTCCCAGCGCTTATCGTTATCGTTGATATGCACATAAAAAGGGATCCCCAGACTTTGCAACAAAGCAATTTCTTCACTTGGATTCTGCCTCGCATAAATCGAATGACCAAAGTCAATCGTCACACCCATAGCAGGTGCCGGCAGACCCAGTTTCTGAATGAACAGAGCGGTGCGGGTCGCCGTATCAAAAAAACAGGAGCCTCTGCTTTCACATGGTTTGGGCTCAATAAACAAAGGGAGCTCCGGCCGATATTCCGCAGCAGCACCCAGGCTCTCCGCAAAATAATCCCAGACACGGGCATAAGCGGTCTGAAAAGCAAATTCATAACCATCCCCCAGAGGACAACAGGTCACTTTATCCGCACCAACGGCCAGAGCAAAATCCTTGGCCTCCCGTATCAGCTGTACCGCCCGCTCCCGAGTCTGCCGTCGACTCGAACTCAGCCCACCCTGTAAGAATTCCGGCTCGGCTTTGACATTCACATTGACCGCAGCCACCTCTAACTGATACTGAGTCAGTAATTCTCTGGTTCTTTCCGCTGTTTCCACTTCATACGGATACACAATTTCCACGCCACTCAGAGCGGCTATGGACTGCACTAACGCAAATTTCTGTTCCAGACTGCGCTCTTCATTGTAATACTGGAACCTGTCCCTGGTGCGACCCAGAAAAGCGGTAATCACTGCATGACGAAACATCAGACTCCCCTGAAATCATATTATGTAATTATTGAATTCAATATTATGATTATAGAATTTATACTTCCGGGGATCAATATTTTTTTAGAAAAATTCATGACTTTTTCTGCTCCATTTCCGGGCCGGCAGGAGCGCTCCTGATAATCGCATTGAGCAGAAGCATGTTTCACAATACTATAGGGCCCATGCCTCATGAAATCACGACACAAGAAGCAGATAAGAATCTGTATGTTTATCGGATTCTGCGTGAGCAGATTCTGGTCGGCTCCATCCCGCCCGGAACCAAAATCAAACAGAATGAACTGGCACAGAAACTTGCTGTGAGCCGTACTCCTCTGATCAACGCATTACACAAACTGGAGTCGGACGGGCTGGTAGATAAAGTGCCCAACGTTGGCTTCTTCGTTCATAAGATGAGTATTAAAGAACTGCTGAATGTTTTTGCGCTCTCCGTTGGCCTGCATGTCGCCGTAATGAGCCAGCTGCGCGAAAAAGATATTCAGGATTCAGATGTGGAGGCCCTGAAAGCCACTATGCTCCACTACACGCAGCTGGGGCCAGGCGAGGAAATTGACTCTTATGAATACCAGAAAAGCAACTGCCAGTTCCATGAACGGCTATTGCAGCTGGGCTCCAACCAGCTGATTTCCAGAATCAACGAGCAGTTCCAGGTCTTTAACCGGGTTTCCCTGGGAGGTCTGCTGCGACCACCAGCAGAAACCCTGCCCGAGCATATGGCCATGGTGCAGGCTCTGGAGCAGAGGCAGCTGGATGATTTATGTCTGCTGGCCTGGGAACATGAACGAAAGAGCTGCCAGGTCATCGCCGAATTAATGGAAAAACTGCAAAACCTGAACCTGCAGGTAGACGAGCTGTATGTCTGCGACTTTTTCCCCGCGCCAGCTGCCACTGGCGAGGCGGCTCCCGGCCGGAGTTGAATCCTGCTGACGCAGGGCATCCTGCACAGGAGTCAGAGAGGAGCAGACTCAATTCTGCGACTGACGCGCAGAATGACAAGGAACAACCGGCCCCCGGGTGCGCTGCGTGGACGAACGGGCCGGATATGCGTAGCATGGCGCATATGAATGAACAGACAGACACGGAGAAACAGGGTGGTGAAACCTGGGCCGCAGCCCAGGCCGAAAGCCGGGCTCTGGAAGCAGCACTACAGAATCCGGAGCAGCGTCGGCACTACCGTATGCTGACTGGCGACCGGCCCACCGGTCGTCTGCACATCGGCCATTACTTCGGGTCCCTGCGCAACCGGGTGGCCCTGCAACAGCTGGGACTGGAAACTTTTATCGTCATTGCCGACTACCAGGTACTGACCGACCGCGAGCAGGGCGAACACATTGCCGGCTTCACCCGCGAGTTGTGCCTGGATTACCTGGCCGCCGGTCTGGATCCGGAGAATTACCCGGTCCACATTTTTGTGCACAGCCAGGTGCCGGAGCTGAATCAGCTCTTTGTTCCGTTCCTGAGCCTGGTCAGTCAGCGGGAACTGGAGCGCAATCCCACCACGAAAGATGAATTGCAGCACTCTGCACTGGAACAGCTCACCGCCGCACTGCTGACCTACCCGGTGCATCAGGCCGCAGATATTCTGTTCTGTCACGGCAATGTGGTTCCGGTAGGCAAAGATCAGCTGCCCCACATTGAACTGACGCGCAGCATCGCCCGGCGCTTCAACCAGCGCTACGGCTGCACATATTTTCCGCGCCCCGTTGGTCTCTTGAGCGACACCCCGGCCATTATGGGTCTGGACGGTTCGGCCAAGATGAGCAAGAGCCGGGGCAACAGCATAGAGCTGGCCGCCAGTGCCGACGAAGTGGCACGGAATATCCGGCGTGCCAGAACCGACAGCGAGCGCCTGCTCAGCTATGAGCCCGAACGCAGGCCCGAAGTGGCCAATCTGTTGCAGCTGGCCGCTTTATGCAGTGACTGCCCGCCCGGGCAGCTGGCCCGGCAGCTGGGCACAGGAGGGGCCGGGGCCTTGAAGCGCCTCCTGACGGAACGGCTCAATGCGCACCTGGAGCCGATCCGTCAGCGCCGCCGCGAGCTGGAACAGCATATGGACTATATTGATGAGGTGCTCGCGCGCGGCTGCACCATCGCGCGTGAGCGGGCCGCGCAGACCATGAAGGAAGTACACCAGCTGCTGGGAACCTATGCCGTTTCCTGAAACACAACAGCCCCAGCCCGGTATGTTCTTGAGCGCCGGGCTCCTGCTGGCCGGGGAAGCTCCGGATGCAGCGCAACTTACGCGCTTCCTGCCGCCGCAGCTGTGCGGGAAACTCTACTGGGTCGCTGCGGATGGCGGCTGCCGCCAGAGCGCCTCTTATCCGGCAGAATTATCAGAAGCAATAGTCATACAGGCAATCATCGGCGATTTTGATTCAAGCCCACCGGAAATCCAACGGCAGGCTGCGCGGGGGCAAAGCGCTCACAGCCGCACGGCGGGACAGATGCTCCTGATACCAGCCAGCCAGGCCAAGGATGAGAGCGATCGCAACCTGGCTCTGGAGTATCTGCTCGGCAAGGGCCATCGCAATATCGTGCAGGTGGGTGGAGGGGGGGGGGCGCAGCGACCATTTCCTGGCGATGATCTACGACTACCAGTTGCGCCGCTCAGAATTTCCACCCAGACTGTGGCTGACGGCTTACGAAGCGATTTTCTACCTGAAGGCGGGTGAACAGCTGGGGCTCAGGCTGCGGGAGCGCAGAAACAACGGCAACAACAAGGCCGGCCCGCAGGAAACACCGCTGCTCTCCAGTTTCCCGCTGAGCGCTGACACTGTGCTGCAATCTGCCGGTTTGCGCTGGCCATTACGTACTGTGCGGCTGGCCCAGGGCAAGGGGCCGGCCGCGCTCCCCTACAGCCTGAGTAACTGGACAGACCCACCAGCCTGGCAAGGCGCAGACAGACCGGGCCTCACCATTACAGTAGAGCGCGGGGCTGCCTTAATCTTCCTGCCCTACCCCGGCTTTGATGTGGATGTCTCCTGCCGGCTGTGTGAGCAGTTCATCCCTGGCCCCCCCTGAACGGCCCCTGAAACCCGGCAGAGCGACAGGCCGCCAGAGCCGCCAGAGCCGCCTGGCTGCGCCGTAAGAGGCTCCGGCGCTGTGGAAGGTCCGCACCGGGCGCTGCCAGAACTCTTCAATGCGACGTAGAATCTGTGGTGAGCGGGCAGGACCACCAGTCACATACAACACCTCGCGCCCTGGCCCGAAAACTTCCACACAAGCCTGGTGCAGCTCCTGCAAGGTGCCATCAATAACGGCGGCCAGATTTTTACCGGGCTCCGTATACGGCCGGACCACCTTCTCAATGGCCGGATGCGTTGCCGGGCCGGGCGGGAAACTTTCGTTGAGCAGACGCAGGCACAGCGGCTCCACCGAACCTGGAGGATACTGCGCCAGCAATTCGTCCTGCTGTGCCAGAGAAAGGCCAAGCTGCTCCCGCCAGGCATCCCAGACCAGGGCACCGTTGCTGCGGCAGGCAAACGAAAAGGGCCGGTCCAGGCCGTCATACATGGCATTGGCCCATTCGTGGCAGCCAGATGCCTGGCTCATCAACACAAAACTGCTGCCCAGACTCAGCAGGTCGCCCTGCTGAGCGACTTTGGTCTGGGGGTTGTCGCCGCTGCCCGCCAGCACCAGGCAATCGCGGCGCAGACCGTATTTGCCGAAATACGGGGCCAGGGTCCCGACACACTGCTGCGCCGGGCAGAGTTCCGGCAGTCGGGCGCGCAGGCCTTCCGGCCCTCCTTCCAGTCCTTCGGCCAGGCAGTCCAGCAGGTCTTCCGACCAGCATTTCCGGCGGTAATCCATCAGCGATGTCCCCGCCGCGCTGCCCCAGTCCAGCGGCACGCTGCTCTGAGCGCTCAGCACAGCGGCCAGCCAGGAACTCAGCAGATGAATCCGCACAGACAGACCGTACATGGCGGGTTCCCGCAGCGCCAGCCAGCGCAGCACCAGACCACTGAAGCGCAGCGGCGCGGCCGAGCCGCTCAGCTCCAGTACTCTTTCCTTACCCAGCCTGCCCAGCAGGTGCCCGGCTTCGGCCTGAGTCTGGCTGCACATCCAGATCGGTGCAACGGGGCAGCCGTAGCTCCGGGCAAAGAGTTCCGGCAGACGGGAGCGCTGACTCTGTGGCCGCTGTAATGCCGCACAGCAGTCAGCAAACGAGCGGTTCAACCAGACCTGGCCGTGCTGCTGGGCCGAACAGTTGAGCGCGTCCACAGAAGCCAGTGGCGCACCGGCCGCCTGCATTTTTGCCAGCAGCAGATCCAGGCTTGCCAGGAACATCTGTGGTGGCTGCGCAAAAAAGCCCTCACAGCTCCTGGCGGCTTCCAGCAGACACAGGTTTTGCGGATCCAGCGCATATTTTCCTGCGACATCGCGAAAGGCGATACTCCAGCTGCCACAGGAGCGCAGTTCTGTGTCTTTGTCTGAGTGGCCCGGCAGCTGTTGCAGAATGGTGGCACTAAGACTCTGGGTACTGAGGTCCATTCCAAGTGTATACATCAGGCCCTCCGTACGCTGGCAGGGAAAGCAGGCGGGAAAATCATGACTTTGTCCTGCATCAGGATACCGGACCCGGGACAGAGACCTTGACACCAGATGTGTATCGACATTTTTCCTGCATAAACCGGCTGAACTGCAATGTTATTGAATGGAATAGCCGCCGTCAATAATCAGGTTTTCGCCCTGAATCATATCCGAGGCATTACTGGAAAGAAATAAAATGGCGGCCACCATTTCCTCTGGCTCGGCAAAACGGCTGATGGGCATTTTCCGCTTGAATTCTTCACCCGCTGCACCACTCCAGATGCGCACAGTCATGTCGGTGTTCGTAATGGTCGGGGATACCGCGTTCACGTTGATATTGTACTTCCCCCATTCCAGTGCCATGACCCTGGTGAGGGCAAGCAGCCCCGCCTTGCTGGGACAGTAGGCAACGTGTTGCTCCAGGGCTACTACAGCAGCCTGTGAGGCGATATTCACGATTTTACCCTTTTTCCGTTCGATCATTTCCGGAACAAAGGTCCGGGTCACAAAAAATGGACCGCTTAAATTTGTTGCAATCACAGTATTCCAATCTTCTTCATTAAACGTTTCCGCCGGGCCTACCACACTCGTCCCGGCGTTGTTGATCAGAATATCGATTGGAGGAAAAACGGAGAGGCATTGCTCTTTCGCCCGTGCCAGGCTCTGCATATCCGTTACGTCTGTGACAATTCCCAGGGTCCGGGAACCCGTTTTATTTTCAATATCTCTGGCGACTTCAGCAACCACCGTATTTCTACCCGCTAAAATTACGTTTGCCCCGGCCTGAGCAAACATCAGGCTGGTAGTATAACCGATACCGGTCCTGCCACCGGTAACCAGAACAGTCTGTCCGGAAAAATCATACTGAATGTTAAACTTTTTCATCGAAAACCTCCTGCTGGATTACTTCATAAATTTGAAAGAAATACTGCCTCTTTTTAGAGTATCAAAGTATATTGCACATAATATTACGGCTCCCTTAATGATAAGCTGATAATAAAAAGGAACATTCAGAAGATTCAGGCCATTATTCATCACACCGATAATCAAGGCTCCAAATAAAGAACCCACTATGGTTCCACTACCGCCTGAGAAACTGGTTCCACCTAACACAACAGCTGCAATCGCATCCAGTTCAAAGCCGATTCCCACAGTCGGCTGGCCTGAATACATCCGGGCAGTTAATATAATACCAACCAGAGCTGCGAGAACACTGCTGATCATATAAGCCAGAACTGAAATTTTAACAATTTTAATCCCGGCGTATTCAGCAGCGGTTTTATTGCCACCTACAGCATAAATATATCTTCCAAAAACGGTTTTCTGGAGAAGTACTAAAGTTATAATAAAAATTATTATAAGAATAATAACAGGAAATGGTATAAATCCTAAATATCCATTTCCTATAAAGTTGAAGTTTTTATCCTGTACTCTGATTGGCAAACCCTTTGTATATATGTATGCAACACCGCGGGCGATTGTCATTGTTGCCAGTGTGACAATAAAAGGAGGCATTTTCAGAACTGAGGAAAAAAATCCATTTAATAAACCAAAAGCAGCACCAACCAGTAATCCTGTTACTATTGCAATAACAATTGAATAGCCATCTGCTATCAAACCAGCAGATAATGTACCACTTACAGCCAGAACAGATCCTACAGATAAATCAATCCCACCCATAATAATAACGAAAGTAAGGCCAAAGGCCAGAACAGCGTTGATTGTGACCTGTCGCAGAACATTCAGGATATTACTGACCGTCAGAAAGTCAGGGGTTAATATTACCACCAGAACAGAGAGAACCAGAAACCCGGATATGGCTCCGCCCTGTCCTGACAATGCAATCAGTTTTACACGTCCGTACCAGGTTTTATGCTGGTTCATATTCACCTCTTTTCATAATACAATGCATGATCTTTTCCTGGGTGACCTCGGCCCGTTCCAGTTTTCCTGCCAGTTGCCCCTCAGAAATCACTACCACTCTTGTCGACAGGTTGATAATTTCAGGAAGCTCTGAGGATATGAGTATGATACTGATTCCCTGCTTAATCAAATCAAATAACAGATTATATATTTCAAATTTTGCGCCAACATCAATCCCTCTGGTCGGCTCATCCAGGATTAATATCCTGGGGTCTGTCTTGAGCCATTTGGACAGCACTACTTTCTGCTGGTTTCCTCCACTGAGCGTGGAAACTTTATGTTCGGTTGAGCTGATCCTGATGCGAAGTGCCTGGATATATCTGCGCAATAAAGAACTCGCCAGCTCCCTGTCTCTGAATATTCCTTTAATGATCTTCTTAATGACCAGAATCAGCATATTGGACGATATGCTATCCTCCATAAACAGCCCCTGCTCCTTACGGTTCTCCGGAATCAGGGCAATACCGCATTTGATAGCATCGGCCGGACTTTTAATATTTTTACGCTCTCGTTCCACATATATATCACCTTCATACTTATCTATTCCAAAAATCACATTGGCTATTTCAGTTCGGCCGGAACCCACCAGACCCGCTATCCCTAAAATCTCTCCTCTGCGCAATTCGAGGTTGATATTTTTCAGGTGATTATTGTAAATATTCCGCAGTTCCAGCACATTATCACCAGTACTCTCTATATCGTAATGAAAAGTCTCTTCCAGAGGCCGGCCCACCATCATTGTTATCAGTTCTTTTCTATTCGTCTCACTAACAGCTGCTGTAGATATGTGCTGACCATCTCTCAGTACTGTAACGGTATCGGCAATATCAAATATTTCTTTTATTCTATGCGAAATATAAATAATACTGATGTTCTTTTCTCTCAGCTTTCTGATCATATCCAGCAGTTTAAGAGAATCTTCCTCTGAGATAGAGGCTGTTGGTTCATCCATAACAATGACTTTAGTGTCTATGGATAAGGCCCTGACAATCTCAACCATCTGCTGCTTTGCGATGCTCAGTCCGGAAACAGAACAATCCGGATCTAATGGAAATTGAAATGCTTCAATCAGTTCCCTCGATTTAGAACTTATTTCTTTTTCATTTAAAAATATCCTGGCATTCTCCCGGCCCAGAAAAATATTCCGGGCAACGGATAATTCCGGAATCAGAGAAATTTCCTGATGAACTATACTGATTCCCGAAAGTTGAGACGATTTTATATTATTTAATTCCTGCCTTCTTCCATCCAGATATATTTCTCCGGAATCCGGACTGTGGATACCACCCAGAATTTTGATTAAAGTCGATTTACCCGCACCATTTTCTCCCAGTAAAGCATGTACTTCACCTCTTTTTACTTTGAAGGAAACATTACTCAGAGCCTTTACCCCTGGAAAGGATTTAGTAATATTATGGATTTCCAAAATACAGTCCGTCATATAATTCCCAAAAAGAAAAATAAGAATGGCAGCTGTACTATATAAAAATACAGTACAGCTGTACTGCCAGAATCCTTACTGAACTGGCATGACACATCTTCAATACGGAGTGTAACTTTCTACATTTCCTTTATGGATCCATTCAACCGGAACGACAACCGTATGCTCCACACTCTCACCATTCAGGATTTTATAGGCCTGCTTCATACTTTCGCTGGCAATTCTGGAAGGGAACTGCGCCGCTGTTCCCAGCATCTGCCCTTCCTGAATCGCGTGAATGGCATCTTTGGCACCGTCAACAGAAACGACAGCGACATCGGTCCGGCCCGCACTCTCCAGGGCTGCAATGGCACCCAGACTGGTTGGATCATTGATACCAAAAACACCTTTAATCTCAGGATTCGACTCCAGCATCGCTTCCATCAAGGGAAGGGCGGCCTCTACACTGCCATTGCCATCCAGATCCGCGACCACCTGAATATCCGGATACTGCTCAATCACGCTGAGAAAACCCCTGACACGTTCCTGAACCACTACATTAACAGATAAATTAATAATTCCGATATCGCCGGAGCCGGCCAGAGCCTCTACCAGGTTTTCTCCCGCCTGTACACCAGCCAGAAAATTATCGGAAATAACCTCGGTCTCCACCAGCTCCTGATCAAATACAGAAGTATCAATATTGACCACAGGAATGCCTGCCTGCTGCGCAGCTTCCAGGGCCGGCCGGATCCCTTTCATGTCATACGGACTGATAAATATCAGATCGATTCCAGACTGTATCGCGTCCTCAATTTGCGATATCTGTCTGGTCTGATCCAGTTGAGCATCATAAACGGTAATTCGATCCCCGTTCTCTCTGGCCAGTTCTTTCAGCGTTGCCACCTCTGCGACCCAGAACGGGTTATTCAACGTCATGAAGCTGGCCGCAAATTTTCTGCCTTGCGTACCTCTATTGCAGGAAACCAGAATCGGCAGTAATGCCAATAATAGAATTACACTGAATACTTTTTTCATAAAAACTCCTTCTGCCTGGACCGGCATAGTGAATCAGCGAAATATCCGCTGGTATTGTAACTGGGGGTGGAAAACGGCTCAGAAATCCGGGCTGCCGACAGCACTGGCAGAGCCTGTCTCCAGAACAGGAAACTCCAGCCTCAACACTTTCTCAAAGCATTCTCTGCCAATTTCCACCATAATCAGCGCCTGCTGCCAGCGATCTGTCTCCTCTTTCCATACCCTGTTTTCATCGGGTACCAGATACGCGTAGTAGAGCTCCGGTTCAGGATCTCCGGCGTAAAGAAAAATATTCCGGGATTCTGTTGTTGTCCGGCATCCCGGCTGTTAATAAAGCCCTGAAAACTTTTCTGCCAGAACAGCCGGAAATGCTGCACACAGAGCCTCTGGTCCTCTTTACTATCGACTTTAATCTGTATGTGCCCCGGATTACTGATGCGGGCATGAATAAACCGGATTCTTCTGAACACCGGCTCCAGCCATTCAATTTTTTTATCAAAATCCCCATACGTCATTTCCGAGCCTGTATACCAGTGGCTGAAATCCCCATTCAGCCTCATTTCCGGGAATTTTTCCAGAAGGCGCAGGCAGCGACAGGGATCCTGCAGGAGCGTTGCCCGGTGGATTTCCGGATACACAGGCAGCTGTAATTTTCCCGCGTAGTCCAGGACATTTTCAAACAGGCGAAAGGCCTGCGCATCATTTTCAAAACCGGTACCCACATGAACAGTCAGGGCCGCAATGCCAGCATCACTGGCCCACCGAGCCGGTTCCTCAATATCACCTGGCGCATCAATTCTCTTTCCCGCCTCTCCCGCCACGTATAAACCAGCCTCCAGGCCCATTTCCGCATACCTGTGATCTGGTGTCTGGATGCCAGCATACCCTGCTGCTTCTATCGTTTTCAGCCAGTCTCCATTCCCGTAATCCAGGCGGGGCCCCACAGAAAAATCGGGCAGATTATCCAGACAGGCCAGATTCAACAGGGGTTTAAAATGATATTTCTGCTCCATTTTCAAGTCCTTTCAAGAGCTGGTAACTCAGGGATATAATAGTAAGAAGGATCCTTATTCTGCCTCAGCATGATTTTATACAGATGCATCAAGCCCGAAAAATAACCGCGTAGCGGAGCTGGCGCATGAGGAGCCATCAGTCTGTGCAGTTTCTTCAGGTTATAAAATGGTACGGCCGCATACGTATGATGTTCGAGGTGATACTGCATCTGCCAGTACAGATAGCCAATGAGGGGACCGGTTCTGAAACTGTATGTATTTTCGCGCCAGTCCTGTGCTTTCGGGTTTAAACCCTCGTGTTGCAACATTCCGCATCCATGCATCAGCCAGGTGGCAAAAAACGTCGGGAAATTGACGATTAAAATCAGAATATACTGCTGTGTATAAATAAACGCAGCGATCAGAAGACCGTGACCCAGACAGGTCAGCCGGGACCAGAGAATCATTTTTTCCCGACGGGGATCATCCCGGGAAAACAATTCATTCCAGTGGAAAAAATCAGCTTTAGTAGAACCAAAAACGTGCATTATATTTGGCTTCATTCGATGAATAAATTTTTCTAAATCAAAGATAAACCGGTAGAATACCCAGACGGAGTTCTTTTTCATCGGAGTCAGTACGATCTCGTAATCAATTCCCTGATTACAGGTATACAGATGATGCATACGATGACTGGTATGGTAATGCACCCCGTTACTCCATGAAATAAAGCAGAACACCTTGTTAAAAAAACTATTCAGTTTTCTGCTTCGGAATGGAGTCCCGTGGCCCAGCTCGTGTACAGGAACCTCCATCATGCCGGAAAAGGTGCCATGCAGAAAAAATACGGCTACAAAAACATACAATGAATGATATAAATAGGCATAATAAGACAGACCTCCCAGTATCAGGAAAATTGCAAGGAAACTGCCGGCCTGCGCAAAACCTTTCCAGTCACTTCTGCGCGTCAGTTCTTTCAGTTGCTCAGGCGGGACGGGTATTCTCTGCCATTGGATTACAGCGCTCATAATCGAATCCTCCTCAAGTTATTCCGGAATATATTTAAACAATTATTACGTTTAATTTTTACAATAATTTAACGTAATTTTTTATACCTGTCAAGTATCCATACTGCTTCCATATTTTTTGTATGATTCATGGAGCATGCGGCATTGCCAGCGGCATTTCGTCCAGTTGCTGTCCTCCAGAGAGCAGCACGGTTTGCGGTCCGCTCCAGTTGCCAGTGTTCAGAAGGGCAGATTTTCCGGTGACTCTGCATCAATGAAAGCTGCACTACTTCTCTTTTCAAAGAGGAAGCTCTTCAGGCTTTACGGAAATTCTACATTCCAGCCAGGATCCCGCCATGGACATCCCGCCATGGCGCATGCATACTGCGCAGCACCTGGCGGTACCTGCTTCCCCTGACAGGCTGGTACCCCTGGTACTGTACCACCGGTAATGGAGGCCCTGTTACAAAGCAAAAAACGGGCCGGTTTCATCTGCCTTCTGTTCCCGGCACCGCCCTGAGGCTATGACCCTCCGGCAACCGGGAATTAAAAAGTATAATCTTTATAATTCTCCTTCGTGAAATCAGAGGGGGGGCCCATAACAATGACCTTGCCGCGCACTGTGATCCGGCCGACACCCGGAACATCCTGACCATCGGCAATGGCTCTGCCGTTGAGCAATTCGCTGGCCACATAGACCGTCAGCGCGCCGAGTTTCCCCGGGTCCCACAAGGTAGCCACGTCCAGCGAACCATCTTCCAGATACGGCCCTGAATCCGTTGGCAGGGCAACACCAACTACAGCAATGCGCGATTGCAGCCCTTTTTCCTGCACGGCCTGTGCCACACCGATGGGGGCAGGAGTGGAATAACCGAGAATACCCTTCAGATTCGGATACGCTTTCAGCAGATCCAAAGTTTTCTGATAAGCCAGCTGCTGTTTTTCATCAGAAGGAATCCGCTGCGTAACCAGCGTCAATCCAGGATATTTTACTTTCGCATATTCCAGGCCTTCATCGATCCAGATATTCAGGTTTTCTGCCGAAAGACCACCGGTTACCACAGCGTAATCCCCGCTTTCACCCATGTTCTGCACCAGCAGATCGTACATGTGCCGGGCGTATACGGTACTATCCACCTGCTGTACTGAATAATCCACAACGCTCTCATCAGCCGGCGTATCCCAGTCCAGGACCGCAATACCGGCGTTACGCGCCTTTATCAGTACAGGTGTCACGGCCGCAGCATCATTGGGAGCAACGGCAATGGCAGAAACTCCCCGGCTGATCATGTCCTCCAGAATACGTACCTGCTCCGATGCATCTGCAGTGGATGGGCCAGTATAAATCACATCGACTCCCAGCCTCTGGCCCATTTCTTTTGCTCCACGCTCGGAAGCGTTAAAATACGGGATGCCGATCAATTTGGGCATTACCACAATCACCGGTTTTCCGGAGGAAGCGGTTGACCCCCTGGCAAAGAGCGCGTTGTTCCTGCTGGAAATAACCGTAAAAACAATCGATACTGCAATGAGTACCAGCCAGATATGCTGGTATATTTTCCTGATTTTCATATTATACACTCCTTACTGAAAGAAAACGAACTGGATTGCTGCACGCGGTGACTTATGCAAAGAATATTCTACGAAAAGTCCATGTTCATAACGGACCTTCTCTTTTCCCCGACAGTATTATCCGGCACCAGAAACACTGTTCGGAGCAGATGCCTGTTATTCTTAAATCATCAGAACCTCCTTATTGTTTTTTGCCATGTTTATTCAACAGGATCACAACAAAAATCAGAATCAGTCCCATAACGGCACTGGTCAGATAACGATTGATACCCAGAATATTCAGGCTGTTGGACAGTATCTGCAGTATGAACACAGCAAAGAACGTCCCGGTTACGGACCCCCTGCCACCGTGGATACTGATTCCGCCAAGCAGGCTTGCCGATACGGACTGCAGTAAATATGAAGAACCATAACCTGCCTTGATTGAATTATACCGCGAAGATAAGATAATTCCGGCAATGCCGGCAATTAATGAAGCATAAATATATGTATAGAATACTATTTTATTGACTGGAATGCCGGAAAAGACCGAAGCTCTATTATTATCACCAGTAGATAACAGACATATACCAAAAGAAGTTTTTTCCATCAGTATATAAGTTATAAAATAAATAATAAAATATATCAGGAAAATTACAGGTATTCCAGCTAATGAAGCGCTGCCTATAGACATGAATGCTTCCGGAAAACCTGATATTGCACCACCTTTAGTGATATTCAGGGATATACCTTCAAATAAAGTCATGGTTCCCAGAGTAATAACGATAGAATTAACTTTCAGATATGATATCAGATAGCCGTTAAGAGCTCCACAGATAACAGAGATCAGCAGAACGGATACAATGCACAAGGAAATCGAGAGAACAGGAGGCGATTCTGAAAAATAATTCATAATTAATGCCCCTGATATCATTGGCAGAACCGCTGAAAACACCACTGACAGGTTAATACCACCAGTAAATATAATCAGGGTCATACTCAGGGCAATAAGCCCTGACTCAGGAATCTGATAGGCCATGGATTGCAGATTTCCAATCGAAAGGAACCGATCAGGAGACAGTATCCCCATGAACACAAACAGCAGTATCCCGATAACAGCAAGTAAATAAATATCCCGGTTCTTTTTCAGCAGATTTTTCATATCTATCATCTTTCCTGCTCCACATCAATCCGGGATGCGTCCGCTGCTCTTAAAGAACTGGATAACTGATCCACCGTTACGGAAAAAATAATAGTGATACCCAGGAGTATTTTTTGCCAGAACACAGGTATACGCCCCAGAGTCAGGCCATTGTTCATCACCGCTATAAATAATGTTCCCACAACAACATTTCGCACGCGCCCTCTCCCGCCATTGATCCCCGCACCCCCTATCACTACTGCGGCAATTACTTCCAGTTCAAAACCGATAAATGCATTGGGATCTGACTGGCCTACTATGGATGTATGGACAAACGCTGCCAGTCCCTGTAACAAACCCTGACAGAAATATGCAAACAGCAGCACTCTTGAAATATCAATGCCAAAGCGCTCAGCGCTGATTCTATTTTCTCCGATGGCATAAATACTTCTGCCCGGTGTGGTATATTTTAATATTGTAAAACTGAATAACAAAGCTACTATGACAAACAGGCACTGAACCGGCAGGCCATGCAACTGACTGAACATACGATATTGTCCAAATTGAATAAAACTGTCAGGAAATCCAGTAATCCAGTTCCCATTACTGATATACAATAATATACCGAATAAAAAACTGAGCATTCCCAAAGTCATCACTATAGCTGGTATTTTATATCTGACAATTACTATTCCATTAATCATACTGATTATAATCCCTGTTATCATACTTATTAAGATAATAGCAGATATGTTATATACGATACCAGCTGAAAAATTTTTGAGAAAATATCCTCCTATCATGGTATTTACCGCCATGGCGGAACCAACAGAGACATCTATCCCTCCTGTAAGTACAATAAATAATAAACCCAGAGCACTGATAAACAAGACAGAGTTAGACTTTATAATATCCATGATATTCTCGATACTCAGGAATACCGGATTGAATATACTGATACAGAACGCAACCAGTACGGTCAGAATAAATACCGCTATCTCTCTATTGTAGAATAATTTCAGAATGGTATTCACTGCCCGTTACCCTGTTTCCTGTAATCCAGTTACAGCATGTTGTATGATATTCTTCTGATCAATTTCTGCCCCGGTCAGAATTTTTGATATTCGACCCCGTCTCATTATCGCCAGTCTATCAACTATTGAAATAATTTCATTCATATCAGAGGAGACAATAATGATACTGACACCCTCCTCACTTAATCTTCGCAATAAATTGTGTATTTCTGTTTTTGCACCAATATCAATGCCATTAGTCGGCTCATCAATGATCATAATCATGGGATTGATGGCCAGCCATTTACCCATAACGACTTTCTGTTTATTTCCACCGGAAAGCTTTTCTACCGGCAGCTCCGGCAGCTGCGGTGTAATTCGCAGCTGCTCAACCTGTTCCCTGACCAGCTGCTGTTCTTTCCAGTGATTTCTCCACCGTAATTTACAGATAAATGGAGAAGTGATAATTAAATTATCATGCATGCTGCGCAGCAGAAACAGCCCTTCGTTCAGTCTGTCTTCAGGAACACAGGAGATGCTCAGTTCTCTGGCTTTCACGGGTGATGTTATGCGTACAACTTCTCCATTGACCCGTATTGAACCAGAATCCGTCTTTTCTGCTCCGAATACCGCCTGCATCAATTCAGTACGCCCAGCCCCTATCATACCATAAAATCCCAGTATCTCTCCACGATACAGGTCAAAAGAAATATCTGAAAAATTTTTTCTCTTCGTAAAATTCCTTACTGTCAAAACTGGCTTTTCACTGCTTTTATCCCGTTTCGGGTGGATAAAGTATTCTATATCTCGGCCAACCATTAATTGAATCAAGCGCTTTTCTGTCAATTCAGATTTGCAGAATGATCCCATATAGCAGCCATCACGGAATATAGTGAAGCGATCACAGGCTCGGAACAGTTCATCAAGTTTATGGCTGATAAAGATAATCGATATCCCTTGATTTTTTAACTTGAACATCACCTGAAACAGATCTTCTACTTCTTTGCCGGACAGTGCGGAAGTTGGCTCATCCATAATCAGAACCGCAGTGTCCAGCAGGAGAGCTCTTGATATCGCGACTAACTGCTGTTTCCCTACTGGCAGTTGTTCTATCAGGACCTCAGGATTTATATCCAACGATATTTCTGCCAGGCACCGGGCTGCATCCCGATGTAATTTCTTCCAGTTTACCCAGAAGGACCTTTTCCCCAGCAGATGTCCTAAAAAAATATTTTCACCAGCACTAAGATTACCAAGCAAAGAAAGATCCTGATATATAACAGAAACACCTTTTTGAATTGCCTGAAACGGAGTAAGTGAATCCAGTTTCTCTCCAGATAAATGAATTATGGCTCCTTTGTCGGGCTTTTCAACTCCTGAGAGAATTTTAATAAATGTGGATTTTCCAGCGCCATTTTCTCCAATTAAAGCATGAATTTCGCCACGTTTTAAAGAAAACCTGACATCGTCCAGAGCTTTCACTCCAGGATACGTTTTACTGATATTACTGCATTCTAACAAAAATTCTGACATTCCCGCTCATCCCGCCATTGCTCATTATACTACTGCCATCTGTCAACTGCCCGTTTCCCGTTTCGATCTGGCACGCATATCGTAGATTACAGCCAGTGCAATGATCAAACCTCTCACAACCTGCTGCAGATAGGAGTTCACATTGGCCAGATTCATGATATTATTCAGAAAACCCACAATAAATGCTCCAGCAGCAGTACCACCTGCGGTACCGATTCCCCCTGAAAAGCTGGTACCGCCAATAATGGCAGCCGTCAGCGCGTGCAGTTCATAGCCGATTCCCGCATTGGGCAGCCCGGCATTGACACGCGACATGAACAATACACCTGCGACTCCGACAAAAAAACCGTTCAGCACAAATGCCCATATCTTACATGAATCTGTATGAATTCCCGAAGCAATGGCGGCATTCTCGTTCCCCCCGATTGCAAAAAAAGAACGGCCTAATTTAGTGTGCTGCAAAATATACCAGGTAATCATGAGAAAAATCAGCAGAAAAATCAGGGGAGTCGGTATTCCCAGTATCGAGCCCTGACCCAGTACGGTATATCCTTCAATCTGATAAATATTCTGTCCCCTGGTATACAACAGAGCCGCACCCCTTGCCATAGCCAGCATTGCCAGCGTTGCGATAAAGGATGGAACGCGATACTTTGTGACCATAACAGCACTGAGCAGGTTTGCCATTACACCAGCCAGAACTGCAACAGGAAAGGCCAGAACTAATGAGCCTGTCATTTTGTACACAGATACGGATAAAAGGCCCGACAGGGCCAGAACCGAGCCACAGGATAAATCAATCAGACCACAGACAATCAGAATGGTTGCACCAAAGGCCAGAATCACAGTCACTGAAACCTGCCGGGAAACGTTGGCTAAATTTGCAGGGCTCAAAAAATTCGGATTTATGATGGATGAGATAATGATCAGTAATAACAGAATCAGAATAATACTGTATTTTTCCTGAAAACCGGTCCAGAATATACGGAGTTTTTTCATTCTGACAGACCACTTCCGGTTGCAATTTTCATGATTGCTTCCTGTGAGAATTCCGGCCGGGTGAGTTCCCCCCGGATTCTTCCTCCAGACATCACATAAACCCGATCAGACATCCCGATTAACTCGGGAAGTTCAGAGGAAATAAATATAATGGTTTTCCCCTTTTGTACCAGCTGATCCATGATTTTATAAATCTCATATTTGGCCCCGACATCAATTCCACGGGTCGGTTCATCCATAATCAGAATTTCCGGATCCAGCAGCATCCATCTGGCCAGAATTACTTTCTGCTGGTTGCCACCGCTTAATTTGCTGATAATTTTTTCGTAGTCTTTCGTGTTGAGATTCACTTTTTCGCAGGCTTCATTTACGATAGTATACTCCCGGTCTTTATCCAGATAACCTTTGCAGAAAACTGTGTCCAATGATGCTAATGCAGTATTTTCCCGGATATTCCGGACTGGTATAATCCCGTATTTTCTCCTGTCTTCAGTCAGCATCACCATGCCACTGGCGATACTGTAAGCTGGATTTTTCAGCTGGACTGCCTGACCATGCAGCTTTACGGTACCAGAATCAAAACGGGCCAGGCCGAACACGGCTTTCATTAATTCGGTCCTGCCAGCCCCCATCAGCCCTGCAAAACCTAATATCTCACCATGATATGCCCGGAAATCAACTTCATGAAAATATTTCTGACTGGTCAGACTACAGACTTCCAGCGAAATTTCCGCAGGAGGGGAGCGCATTGCCTGACGGGGATATTCACCGGATAACTCCCGGCCGACCATCATCGCGATCACGTTATCCATCGTCAGCTCTTCTTTTGCCTGTGTGCTGATCACTTTTCCATCACGCATGACGGTGATTTCATCGGCAATCTGAAATATCTCATCCATTTTATGCGAGATATAAATAATACTGGTCCCTTTCGCCTTCAACCGGGCTATCCTGCCGAACAGTTCTGCCACTTCCCTTTCTGTAATCGCAGAACTTGGTTCATCCATGATGATCAGTTCTGCATTTTTTGAGGCGGCCCTGGCAATGGCCAGGTGTTGTACCTCGGAAATACTGAGGTATTTCATTTTTACGCCGGGTGAATACGTCAGACCTTCTTCAGAAAGCAATTCCGTTACCTGATAGCGGAGTTTTTTCCAGGAGATCTTTCCCCATCTGGATGGCCATTCACCCAGAAAAAAATTTTCCTCAATCGACATTTCCGCTACATAACTGAGTTCCTGAAAAATCATGGCAATACCGTGCCCTCTGGCATCACCGGGATTTTTTATGTCAACTGGATTTCCTTTGATTCGTATTTCACCCCGCATCCGGCCGGAGGACCCCATTGATAATTTTCATCAATGTGGATTTTCCTGCACCATTTTTCTCCACACAACACATGGACAGTTCCTGCTTTAACGGAGAAACTGACATTATCCAGGGCTTTCACACCCGGAAAAAATTTGCTGATTCCCGATATTTCCAGAATATTCACGGACATGGTCTGATTTCTCAATAATCTGAAAAAGCGCTGTCCCCTGCCCGGCTCAGCGGGCCAGCACCTGTAAATTGCCTGCCTGGCGATGCATTTCAATGTACAGGTCCACATTATCTCTGGTAACGGAAGGGGTTCCGATATCAAGATCTATCTGCTGTTTTTTTCCTGTCAGAAGAGCATCCGTAACCTCCAGCAGTTTTTCGGCCAGTTCGTAGGCATTCTGCATGGTAGTGGAGGTCATCCGCCCTTCTTTAATCAACAGGACGGCCTCAGCCGTACCATCCACACCGTACGCAAGAATATTCTCAAATTCCGGAGCGTTTTTGACTACTTCCAGAGCTCCTGCTGCCATGTTGTCATTCATCGAAATAATCGCGTCAATCTTCGGATTGGCCTGTACCCAGTCCTCCATCAGATTCATCGCTTCTTCTTTATTCCAGTTGGCAATCTGTTCACCGACGATCCGCACATCAGCACGTTGATCAAAAAACTCTTTCTGCCAGCTCCTCCGGCGTTCATCGGCGTGAAAATTCCCTGGAGGGCCATTCAGCACAACCACTGATGCCCCCTCGGGGATCTGCTGCAGCGCGGCGCGAGCCTGTACCGCAGCCTGTTCGTACGGGTCCGCATCCACAGAGGACGCACCCGAAATACCCGCAATTCTGGCGTTGGTCGTGATACAGATAATCCCTGCCTGCACTACCTTTTCCGCGTAGGGCCGCTGTGATTCCCCGTTGTTCGGCTGGATGATGATCGCGTCAAAACCGTTCACAATGGCATTTTCGATAAGAGAATTCTCTATGATATCAGAGGCCTGGCCATCAAAAACTTTCACATCAATATCGGGGTATTCAGCAGCCTCCTGCTGGATTGAATTGGCCAGCCAGGCGGCAAAAGAGTCTGCCTGCGCACGGGCAATATACGCCACTTTGTATCTGGCACCGCCGGAGCTGCCCTTCGCACCCAGTGTGCTCAATGCAACGCTGCCATATACTGCGATCAACGCAGATACCAGCAGAATATTCTTTTTCATAACACAAGCTCCTTAACACATAATCCCGGTCCATGCCGGCTGCTTTCCGGAATATCTGGTTTCCGGAACATCTGGTTTCCAGATATTCTGCGCCCCTACCCCACCTGAATCGCAATCTTGATCTCAGACTCAGGAGCCGTTGCCGCATATTCAAAGGCCGCAACCGCTTCGCTGAACGGATACGTTTTTGTAATCAGAGGAGCCACCCTCAGTGCTCCCGCGCCCATCATCCCCAGCACCCCGGGAAACACATTCACATAGCGGAAAATACTTTCAATCGCGATCTCCTTAATCTGCATACTGACCACATCCAGAACAACCGGTTCGGGCGGCATGCCGATCAGTATCAGTTTCCCCTTCGGCAGCAGCAGTTCGCTGAGCCCCCGGTAAGCCTGCGGGCTGCCGCTGGCCTCAAAGATCACGCGAACACCCCGGATGCCGCGCGCAGCAAAAAATTCTGCCACGCTCTGCACCGACAGATCGATGGTGGTAATCCCCTCATAGTGCCGTTCGACAAAGGCCAGTTTCCCGGCCTTGACATCGGCGATATACACTTCTGAGCAGCCGGTACCCCGGGCAGCCAGGGCCGTGACAATGCCGATGGTTCCCGCCCCCAGCACCAGGACCGCGCTGCCTGGCGGAACCTGAGCGCGTTGCACCGCATACACGCCCGTGGCCAGCGGCTCCACCAGAGCCCCCTCAGCCAGTGTTACATTATCCGGCAGCCTGAAAGTAAACGCAGCCGGGTGCACCACACTCTCGCGCAGACTGCCGTGCACCGGCGGGGTCGCCCAGAAACGCACAGCCGGATCCAGGTTGTAGCAACCGGCTAAAGTCTCCGGACTGGTAGCGCCGGGGACTCCCGGCTCCATGCAGACCCGATCCCCGACTTTCAGGTGGGATACCGCCCTGCCGACTTCGCTGATCACGCCGCTGGTCTCGTGACCCAGAATCATCGGCTCCCGGACGATGAAATCACCAATCCGGCCATGAGTATAATAATGCACATCACTACCGCAGATGCCGCAAGGTATCCACCTGGACGCGGACATCATTTTCACCAGGAGTCTCCTCCAGAGCGACTTCCTGAAGCTGTAAGCGGTGCTGCTTCTCTAAAACCAGCGCTTTCATCACTACTCCTGTATCGTACGAAACAGAGTATGGTCGAATTTTATGAATTGTCAAGCAAAATTTACATAAAAATTTGCGAAATTTTCATACAAGCAGCCGTCCCACAGCGATCCAGCTTGTGGCCATGCACTCATCCGGATACAATGCACTTTCCCGCACGGGCCGTTGCCTCACAGGAAATCCTGAGCGCTCCGGACCAGCAGTCTACGGCACAAAGCCCCTGAATATCCGCGTACCAGCGCGGCAGCCTGCTCTGTCCCGAAAACTCTTGCCGAAAATCGCCTTTTCTACTGAAACAGCCTCGTTGCTCCATTCTCCGATCCTGACCTGTATTGCTGATGGCGGATACAAAGGTTTCCCCGTCTGAGCAGAAGCGCAGGCAGTACT